GCTAAAACTGATCAAGGATGGCCGGTTACTGGGCAAGTAGCACAGAATGTTCCAACCATAGTCTTTCAAAAACTACAATTTTTAAAAAAAAATTGGTGTAATTTTTCTCTGCGTGGTGTGATAAAAGGATCTGACGTAAAAATATAGTTTGAGCTTATTCGACAACCATACTAATATAGGCAAACTGCACAACAGTTTTTGAGGAAAGATGATTAGAAAAGCTAAAACAAAATTATTTTAAAAAAAATAGTTCAAAACTTTATTGCAAAATTTTTTCAATTTCTGAAGGTTTTGATTCTCAAAAATGACACTAAAAATTTACAAAAATTGTTTTTACCCGAGTAAAATTAAAATTGAGCACTTTGCTAGCTCGATTTTAAACAAAAAAAAGCAACCTGTTTTTCTAAACACTGGTATTCTTTTCCGAAATTATTAATGTTGTCGAATCACAACTGAAAAAGTTTTAATATTTTTTGAAACATATTTTTCGAATCCTGATATTTTTTTGACAAACATTTTTTTGTCAAATTGCTCATGATATTCTAATTGTGAAATTGGACAGTATGGCCTTCTCGGCAAAATTTTGAAGGAACCCTGTAATTTATGACAAACATGAAATACAAATGACAACATGCGGTGTACTCATAACTCAGTTTTAGATACCTTGTTGTTTTTTCGATATATTCACGACTTTTCTTCAGTTAAAAAACCTTCGTAAATAAATCTTTTTGCAGATGACACTGCCATTTGTAGGTCTAGTAACCAATTGCTCTTTAAAAAAAATTAGAAGAGATTTTGAGATCTCGAATTACTGGTTTAACTTCAACAAATTGTAGAATAACGTGAACCAAAATGACTTAAGTTTCGGAAAAAAGGTAATTTTGAGAGCTGGTGAAAACATGGAGAACAAGGGTGTTTTTCAGAATCTTGCAACCAACAAAAAGTTATGAATTTTAAAACAAAAAGTCTACGTTCGCGAGAAATGGGTGTACCACGAAGTCTAATCTATTTGAAAATTTAAAATGTCTTCGTTAATTAGATAAAACGTCATTAGAACATAACTTTCCTTCAAAAGTTTGATCAAATTCATACTACTTTTTATTACTTGAACTACAGTTAAAGTGTGTGTATAAAGCTCTTTTGGTCAGTTTTTTGCCCAGACAAATTTTCAATCTTCAGTTTCTCCTCTAAATTATCTAAAGGTTAATTTAGCCCGAAAAAGTAGAACTTCGCTCTCAAGGAACAATACCTCTTCCTTTAAGAAAATCAAAATTATTGCAAAATTCAGTTTCTTGTAGTTCTGTGAACTGTTTCATCTTCCTCGGGCCAAATAGTTCGTTGCCATTTAACTCACTTGAGCCCACTACTTCAAAAACTACTTTAATGAGCAATTTAAAAAAGGTGTACTTGAACGGCAATCGACTGTTTGTGGACAATAAGTATGATTTTGAAATATGCAACCGTTTTCATCTTCTTTTGCTTCCACTTTTTTGCTTCGATATTTCGAATAGCTTACTGCCAGATAAGATGTACTGTCCGTCACAGTGCCTTGATGCAGTTTAGTAGTCAACTTCTGTACTTTTCAGCTGTATCTAGCACATTTGAAAATTGTTTCTTAACTATAGTTCTAATTTTAAAAGATAAAAATTACTTTTTATGCATAACATCTGATGGCTTTAATAAGATGTATCAAAACAAATTAACTAATGACCCGCATTGGAGTTCCATGAAAAAAAATCGATTATAATTGAGTTTCCTTGTCAGTGTTCACAAAGGTGAAAACAAATCGATTATAATCAATTAAAAATGGATTATAATATTACTATTTTTCGAGGCAACAAAATCCTTTTTTCATCCATAATAATCGATTTTTTTTTCACTTTTGTGGACACTGACAATGAAACTAAATTATAATCGATTTTTTTCCACTTTACTGAGATGCGAATTTCAACGCACATAAAGTCTTTTCTACTTTTTAAATTAGAGTTGGTTACGTTGGTTACATGTTCTTCAATTGAAATTTTTTCTACCTAACTTTGATATTTTTGTTACTTTTTATTTTACTCAACATTACCCCCCCTAGCGTTTTCCCATTTACAACAAACCCCCCTCTCCCCCCCCAACGTAACATCTTCAAGTGGGGTGGGGTCAGGTGAGGGTTGTTCAGGTGGGGGGGTTTCAGATGGGGGGTGATTTCAGGTGGGGGGTCTGGGGTTCAGGTGGGGGTGGTTTCAGGTGGGTGGGGATTCAGTGGGGGAGAGGGTTCAATTGGGGTTGGGGCGATGGGTTTAAGGTGGGGGGTATGTGGGTTCAGGTGAGGGTGGTTTCAGGTGGGGGTGTTCAGGTGGCAGGTGGGGGGCGCGGTGGGTTTAGGTGGGAGGGGGGGTATGTTGGTTCAGTTGGGGGTGGGTTTAGGTGGGAATGGGGGGTATCTGGGTTCAGTTGGGGGTGGGTTTAGGTGGGGGTGGATTCAGGTGGGGGCGGGTGGATTCTCAGGTGGGCGGTTACTCAGGTGTGGGGGCTGTTCAAGTGAGGGGGGATTCTGTGGGGGGGTTCAGGTGGGGGGGGGGGTGTTGTTCAGGTGTGGGGGTGTTCATGTGAGGGGGTTTCTGCGGGGGGAGGGGAGTAAATGGGCAAACGTTAGGGCTTATTGAAGGGGAGCAAAGGGCAAACGGTGGGGGGGGGGGAGCTCAACAGAATCTTTTAACAAATTGAATTTAGGTTTTGAAATGGATTACGCCAGGCCGTACACTCGCTTTGCAAAGTTCCTGCATAACTCACTTGATGAATGCTGAAATTCTTATAAAGTTTTGCTTGATGCGCGAAACAAAAATAAAGTGGAAAAATATCACTTCAAATTGATTTACTTTTTATTATAAAATTCCTTATAATGGATTCAAATCGAGTTATAACCAACATTTTGTTTTGGCGAGAAAAAATGGATTTAAATCCATTTTTAGTCCAATTTTGTTGTCTGAACGTAACATGGAAATCGATTATATGTACAACATTATAGACCTCGAAAACCCATTATAAAAGGTTTGTTTTCACTTTTCTGAAATGCAGGGAGTATTAAACAGTTTTAACAATTATATAGGATACAAAAGACAAAAGATTTCGAAGTTTAATATCAATAATACAATTAATATCAATATATTTAATAATTTCAAAGCTCAAGGATGTTTTATAACGTGTTTGCACAAAACAATTCCTAACAAAACAGTCCAAAAGCAAACATTTCAAAAAACCATAGCAAAACACAAAAAAAAACAGTCCCATACAAAACAGTCCCAGAACTAGTCCAAAAAATATTCCAAAGAAAGTCGTATTGATTGAAGTGATGATTGTTCCAGAAACTGATAAGAAAATTTCTCTCGGAATAAAAACACATTTTGATTCCAATTTATTTGGATAACAATAGGTAGCATAGAAAAAAATTAGATAAACGAAAATAACAGCAGCGGTCACTCATTAAAAGCAATCATATGCGAAGCATAAAAGTTAACGCAGTTTAAAAAAACTGGAATCTTTTTTAATCCACGCAAAAACTTACAGTTTGTTCAAGTTATTTAATTTCCGAACACTTGGCAACCCTCAATAGAAACGAAATTCACTAACTATCAATGGAAATCATACTTACTAGCAAAAAAAGTGAGTTACTGATTTTTGAAGGTTATGCTTATAAAAAACACCAGACAATTCAGTCAGACAATTCCCTAATGATTAACACCAGTCAGACAATTCCCTTTCCGGCGCTGCGCAAAACGTAATTGTAATGGCCGTGTGCGTACAAAAGAGGACTCCGTTGAGATCTTTAAAGATCACTGCCATTTCCCCGATCGAGCTGACATCGAACAACGTAATTTCAGAAAAACACTTAAAGATCGAACAACAGTAATTGATGTAACACCGCGGCTGACTAATTTCGGAGCCCAAGGGATAAGAATCAACAAACAGCTGTTCATTTACCAAATTACTCTGTTAGTCAGACATGTTCAGTCGTCAGGCAAGACTCACTATTACAACAATGACCTTAATTTTTGCGAAATTATTCGAATGCTTCTCGCAACAGCATTTCTGCCTGTAGAGGACGTCCCCACTCGGTTCGAGCTTTTGCAAGGTATGGAATCTGAAGGAAGTCACACAATTTTCAATTATTTAGAGGACATATATTGGTAAGCTGGCTTCTCAAGGACGACAGAAGCCCAGATTTGACATGGAGCAATGGAGTTTCCATCAAAGAGTAAAAACCACCTTCCCGGCACCAACAACGCTGTAGAAGGTTGGAACAGCAATTTAGTGAAACTGGGCAACATTAAGCACCCTTCATTTCCAAAACTGATCTAGAAGTACAAAGATGAGTAAAAGAAAGCGGAAATATTGTTAGAATAAATGTGCGCCGGACAAAAAGTAGCCAGACCCAAAAATGTTAAATACAAAAATTGGGCAAAAACATACTCACTAAGATTAGGTCACATCAACCGAACGATATCACTGTGTTTTTCGAAGGAAGTAGTTATAATATTAAATTATAATCAGACGTTTTTTTCGTCATATTTATTCCACATTGAAAAGCTACAGAAAATCTTCCAAGTTCAATTACTTTCCTTACTTTCGAAATTGAGCTAGAGTCTTTTTGAAACGGGCAAAAAATGTATAAATACAAGGTGCTGATTTTTCGTTTCCTCCCGCCCAACCTTCTAAGGTTGAACCCTTTGTTGTAGCCTAAATATACTCAATATCATATTTACCCGAACTTCATTTTTTGTCGATAAATTGGAAAATTTTGTTTGTCGCTGGGGATTCGATCCATTGATCTCTATAATTAGAGTCTAAAACTTCAACCACTATACCACCAGTCCTTTGACTTTGAGCTGGTTAATTGTTCGATATTCGGCCCTTTGAGCTTTAATTACGCTCATTTTGATTTTTCAAAGCGTTGATCAATTCTGTCGGCGCCAAAAGATCAAGGTCAGAAAGTTCAAATGGTTTTGGTCTACTGTTTTGTATCGGACTGTTTTTTAGAACTTTTCTTTTGATGTTTTAGACTCTTTGGTAAGGGACTGTTTTGTATATGCACCTTTTATAAGCAATCCGCTACAATTAATGTACAAAGTTGTACAACAGAAGATTACATTTGTTTTTACTTCTTTTTTCTCGATTCGTTGCATTCGCGTTTTCGATCATCGACCTTTTGACGTTGATCTTCGGATGTGCCACTCAGCTGTAGTGATTTGACTGGGCGTTTGGGCTGCAGAACTATCAGCAGGAAAATAGCTATCCAACTCATGTAGAAGTACAAGGATCTGAAAAATAAGTTTCTCAATTTTGCTGATAAATTATGGTGATTTCATTTTTCCATTAAATGCCCAAATAGAACAATAAGGGAGTTTCTAAACTAATTTAACCAAATCGGTTAACAAACTAGCGCAGGATTGCATGACAGCATGAAAACGATGGACACAAAAATGACGCAAAAATTGACTTTTTGAAATTAGTGATCAAAATTAGTTAATTTCCCAAATTTTTCAGTAAATTTCGTCTTGTAAAACCAATTTAATGTAATTTTTGTAGCTTCAAGTTGCACTGCACTCAAATCTTTTTAGAGTCATCAAATTAACCGAACTGAACAACGATTTTTTGCATGCATTTTAATTGTTAATTTGACTTTGAAACTTTTTATTGGAACGTGCCTGCGTGAGGAAAACCACAATTGAGAACTCCCCTCCCCGCATTTCAATTTTAACTTGAAAAACTGGTTGAACGTTGTCGTGATATGTTATCGAAAATTACAGAACAAACAACTTACTATATTGTGAACGCATTTGTTCTTTATACTTCGTTGTCATAAGCAATCGTAAACACGTTAATCTAGCGTGCATAAAAATTAAACAGGTGGGGAAAAAGTAAAATATTCTTTTTGAGACATAATCAACGGGCTTTTTTAACCTTACCCTCGCCCCCCCATCAAGTACAAATTGTCTGAATTGAATTTAATTGAGCTTAAGACCAAAAAAAAGCTATATCAAGATAATTACAAACTAACAAGTTGATCAAAAGTTTCGGTTCATAAAAACACTGGTGCAAGAGAGTCGATCCAAAAATAAATCCGTTTTTTAAATGATTTTATCAGGTTGTTTTTTCTAACAGAAAAAAAATCAAAAAAGTGACGAGATCACATATCTGTAAAATTGTTACTAACGCAAATGGTAAAGACCCTGCTTTACCGATTTACGCCAAAGTTTTAGTAAGAAATCGTTTATAGTAAAATTTGATTGATGGGCCGATCAGCTAATTTGAAACACACCTGATATTGTTAAATTAACGTAAACAATCACCCGTTACACAAAAAAATGATATAATTAAAAGGCGAGAGAAAAAAAATTAGAAGAGACAAAAAGCAATTTGCGAGTACCGGAAAATGACGAATGTGGACGACAACTGCAGTTCACTCATCGGGATAATAGCATAGCACATCGACAACTGGCACCCCACCCACGTGACACAGTTGTACATAATCTTCTTGAAATACGAATCTTGAAAATGTGGCCAAATTGTCTTGCGAATCTAAATGGTTGAAATGAATGCTACTCAATCAGCCTTTTTTACATCGTTTTTACAGTGCTGATTTAAATAATCGGAACCAAACGAATAGCACCTGAAAATTAAAATGCGTTTTTTTTCTTATTGGGTTGGTCTTAGACAAAGAACAATGAGTACAACGAGGGTCTTATGCACTAAATGACCCAAAAATAGTATTTCTACATCTTGATCTTAAATCAATGTGGTTACCCGCACTCAGTAAAAAGAGAAAATAATCCATTATATTATATTATAGTTGCACTTTTAGCAAAATTAAAACCAATAACAATGCCATTTTTAGATGTTTAAACAATTTATAATCCATTATATTGATAACAAATTCGGTGACTTTTTAATAATTTATAATCAATTATAATTGATTATAATTTTTCCGAAAACATTGTATAATCTCTTATAATCTATTATGATTTATAAAAATAGATTGAAATCCCTTTTTTTATTAAACTAATATTTCACAAGAAAATCAAATATAATGGATTGTATTTTAGCTAATATGCATGAAAACACAGTAAAAATCAGTAGGAAGTAAGAAATGACTGAAAAGTAAACAGTAAACAGTAAAAAAGTGAACAGTAAAAAAGTGAACAGTAATCAGTAAGAAAAGATACCAACTGAAAAGCACACAAAACAAAACAAAAATATAACGAAATGAAACGAGGACGTTTGTTGGATAAGAATGGACTATAATCAATTAAATGGGTTCTAAATCAATAACATTTGAGAAAAAAAACGTTTTTAAAAAATAATCGATTATAATCGATTATAATGTTTTTTTTTGTTTCGAAAAAAAATGTTATTATTATCTATTTTTAATTGACTATAATCAATTCTTTTTGAAATTAATGGAGACTGACAATAAAAATACATTATAATCTATTATTTTATTATTTTTTAGCTGAGTGCAGGTAATTAGCCAATCAAATGCAAAAGAAATGGTCCGGCCTTCAATTAAAAATTATTTGCGGGAATGACCAAAATGATAGAAGATTTTTCGCGTTGAACCCCATTTACTGAAACTTTTTCGTCTAGGTGTAATTTCTCACAAAAAAAATTAATCTCATTATTTGATTAAGATTCACATTTTCAGTAAATTCGGCTCATACTTTTTCCTGCTGGAACAGTTGATTGAGATGCCTGACCATGTTGCCAAAATTTGATTGGCTTATTTTAACCAATCAAATTCTGCCGCTTTAAAAAATATAAAGGTTTTGTGCATACGACCCCGCGAAGTTTGCCTAGATTTTTAACAGAATAAATATACTCCATTTTTTTGCCCAAATTTTACTCTCAAAAGGTCATTTTTTTTGGCTTTTTCTAAGTCGAATGAAAATTGCTCCAAAACTTTTTGTTCAATTAATCACAAAACCTTATCACATTGAGGGAGTGCGGTCTGTCTAGAAAACCGCGTATTCGTACTCGTCAGAAAGCAGACAAATACTATAATAACCAATCAGAATCAAAGGTGAGAAATCAAACTTACGAAATAAATATTCACTATTAACTTATTCCTTGTCTCGAATCTGGCTGATTATTATAGTATTTGTCTACTTACTGATGGGTACAAAAACGCGGTTGTCTAAATACAATGTGACATGATTTTGTACAGACTCCCTCAATAATTATCACTCCCTCAATGTGATATCGTTTTGTGAGTAAATGAACAAAGAGTTTTGAAGCAATTTTCAATAAATACAGTTACGTAGCCCACCTTGAGCCTCTTGTATCGGCTAATCAAAATTAATGGCGGTATATTGTCCAAAATTTGGCGAAAAGTAATAAGAAGTTGTTAAATGGATTGCAGTGAACCAGTATGAAGTGAGTTATAACCGATATGGTTAACTCATAGAGTAATTTCGGATAGGGTACACCGTCTGCTCGTCACGCTATCTTATTTTCGGCCGGATAGATTCGTGCAACTTCTTAGTCTAATACCGATCCTAATCTTACTCTTATACTATCTAGTCTCAGGTTGTTTAACTAGTCTCTGCTAGGCTCAATACATCTAGGGTATACTGGTTTATTGCGGCTGCTGAAGTTCTCTTGGAGAGTCAACTAATTTCTAAGTTAAATTCAAATCTCTCTGGTGCTGAAATTACAAGTAATTTCAGCACTTACAAATAAGTGGGTTGTTAGTTTGATGGATCATGACTGGTTAATATTAAATACTTTACAGTGGTAAAATATCTAATTTATCCAATCATAAAATGTAGTTTAGATCAGGTTCCACCCATCCGGGTTTTACAGAGTTTTTTAGAATAGTCTTTCTGCAATTCAAGGATGGATGATGAACGTTGGTATTTGGCGAACATCATATTTCTTCTGGGTTCTCTTGTTAGAGAAGTTCCAGGTTCAATCGTTGTGTCTTCTCATGACAACGACTGGGTTTTCGCAACAAACTCAAATCTGATTTCAGAATGGTTGGCTATGTCAGGTTTTTCTGTTTCATTGGTGAGAACTTCTTTTGTGTTTGACCTTGTCTGGGAATGGCGTGGAGATTGTGCGTGGAGGGGATGCCTGGTTACTCGGATCTGTACGTATACTTGAACATCGAGGTGGTCATTGGTCTAGTTCAATGAAGTCCTTTTCTGCGAAGTCAAGTCGTACTCTAAATCCTTTGAGTTGTGATTGTGGACGGCATATTGATTGTGTTTGGCCATTCTTTTTCGAGTGTAGTGGGGTCATTTTGTCTTTGGATGTTCGTCTTTGGTGTTGTATGCTGATCTATATACTGCAAGGTATCATTTACATTTTATAAATTTTTTATTAGTTTGGTGTTTTAATTATGATTTTGGTTAGTTGTTTTCACAAAAGCTTTTTGTTTTAGTTTGGTTATTTTGAAGAGTTACTCACCCTTGAGTACCTCTTATTAAAAATAGAAGTGTGGTCACAAAGCGTGGATGTAGCGCGGTGGGTTAGGCCGGCTATAGAGCATGCTCAGGACGTCCTCTCTGGTGGGTTAGGCCAGGAGTGGGAGTATGATTTCGTGCGGTTTCTGTGAGAGGCCTGTTATGTGATAACGTTTTATGTTGGGTTTATTGTGGTTTTTCTTATGTTTCGTTGGTTGTGTCCTTTTTTCAAAAATCAAATTGTTTTTGGTATGGGTTTGTCTTTTGACTTTTTGTGTTTTATTATTTCTTTCTTAGACTTTATAATAGTCTTCAAAAGAATAATTTATCCAGTTTTAAACTGGGTTAATCCGGTTTGGGTACCGTTGGTTTCCTTTTCTTAGTCATGCTGTTATTCTATGATCTGTGGTGTTTAGTAAGCTGCATTGGTTAGTTTTGTTTAGTATATAATTCCTTTCCAACCGGGTTAAGGGAAAGTTTGAAACTTGTTATCGTGTGTTAGAGTTGTTGAGTGTGAAAACTTGAAACTGAAATTCATTATTTTAAACAATTCTTCGTGGGCAAGCTGTGCAAGTTTGGATAGAATTTTTGTGCGAGTGAATGAGATATCAAAAGGTTAGTACTGCATTTTCGTTTTATCAATTTACTACATAGAATTCAATTTTACTGCTAGTTTTTGGGAAAAATTAAGTTACAAACTTTCATCATTATTAGATTTACTGCTTGTGGGGAAACAATTTAAAAATTAATTTACTACATTGGTATGAATTTTATTTAAATTAGCTTGTGCAAAATATTAATAGAGTTTTGAACAATTTGAAGAAGTTTTCTATTTTTTATTTTTCTTTTGTGTATTTTGCAGATGATCGTGGGATGAAGACTAAAAATCTAAATAAGACATGGATAAAGAATGGTTAGTGTTTTATTTTAAATTTATTAGTGAAGAATATGTATAAGTCATACTTACCTGTTAGTCGTCGGGGAAAAAACCGTGAGGGAAGATGTCGTGGATTATGTCGGAATTTGTTAGTAATTTTGCTAGTATGCGAATGATGTTTTTAGTTTGAAGCAGTGGCCAAAGCAATTGAAGTGCTTTAATGGTTTTTAGTTCTTCAGTGCCAACTGCAAATTCATAAGGTGTGTTTTGGATGAGATTATATAATTTGTGGTTATATTTAGTGTTGTGGATGAATTCTAATATGGGGATTTCTATAGGTTGAACAAATTTATGTGGGATAAGGAAGGGTCTGGATTCTTCTGCGTTGAAGGTCTTTGTGATGGGACAAAAAATATACATTTGGGTTATGGGATCATAATTGCGAAGAATACCGTGAAGGTTAGTATCTTTGATGCAATATGTGAAATTAAGAAAAAATGGTGATGTGTATTTAGAGTTAATAAATTGAAAACGATGGTGTGGTTGTCTTGATGGAGTGTGTAGGTCAAAGTGATTTTGTATGAAGCGGTATTATGTATATGTGTGGGTTTGTTTAGTGCGTAACATAATGTCGTGTGAGCAGTGCAAATCTCGTTCATGTGGTGCAAGGAAAAGAAAGGTTAGTGAAAATAATGGAAATTTTTCTTTAAAACTTTCGTAAGCTTGTGTGTCGGTTAGTGCTTCTGAAATGATGTGGTCAAATTTGCGATCAAATATTTTGAGTGTAAAAACATATGGTGTTTTGATGAAAAATTTTTCTGTGATTTGTGGGTTAGCGAAGCGATCATCATCTAAAAATTGGTCTTGGTTAGTTCGGATGATGTTATGATCATAATCTTCTAGCGTATATTCGTTAGCTTGGGGTGCAGTGTATGTTTTTAGTGACTTTTTATATCCTATATAAGTAAATTGTCTATGTGTTAGTGGTGTAGTGAGTCGATATAGCATATTTTGATTTCTTTCTATATCGATGTGAGTGTTAGATAAAGGTAGGCAAAGGGGGTTAGTAAAATGATAATATGATGTCCATTGAAGTGTAGGCATTAAAACGTGTTCATCTACAAAACTGCGTGTGTTGTTAGTGTCGTTAGGGGTGTTCAAAGTATACTGTGGAAATGAAGGTAAGGTGATTGCTAAAAATTCTCTTGTGTTAGTGTGATTTGGGTGATTAATATATTCAC